ATATATATATATATATATATATAATTAGTGAAATAACAAGTTACTTAATAATTACATGCTATTAAAAATATTAAACTAAATTATTTATATTATTAAAAAGTATTAAAATAAAAAATACATTTTACGTTTTACATTAAAATTTATTGAATTTATTAATAATGATATATGATTTATTGCCTATATGTGTCTATTTATCCAGTTCTCAGTCGTATCATGATACGTAACGATTATCATTTTCTATTTCAGAGTCGCCACCACCCCCGTATTGCCTTATCGCCGATAGACTGAGACCCGAAGGTGAGTGTTTCATCTTTCATACCGTAATCAGGAATGTTTGTAGCGAGTGTGTGCGAGTGCCAGTATATATTTGTGTACACGTGCGTTGTCTTCGCGCACCCATAACGGCGATAACTCATGTTTATTGCTCGCAAACGTTTACCGTACAAGCAGCGAGGTACGTCTCTTCTAGCGCGCGTGTCGTGTCTCATGACCTAGCCCAAAGCAAGGTTGGAGATAATCCGGGACGAATGTAAGTGCCAACGTTCCCGTCTTTCGTAGTATCGCGCCGATCTCCGGTTAATCTCTATGTACGTCGAGATTGCGCGAACAATACGTAACAATTCAATTGCGAGATTATTCAATTTCTTTTTCAATTAAGAGAAATAAATATATTTTCAATTAAAGCGGATCTAAAGTGCTGAAGTATTTCCAAGTAAAGTTAATATATACATAATGTGTGTTATTACTACTACTCTAGTTCTCTCTTCATGATTGTGTTTCAAGAAAGAACGAAAAAGATTTCGGCGCGCGATTTATAAAATTGGAAATGTATATATAAATTCACTCTGAAATCTTCAAGCGCTAAGATCCGCTCTGACCGAAAATAGGATTATTTGTGTCTTAATTAATTTTTTTCCGTCGGTATAATATATTATTAATAAATTTTGGTCGAGCAACGAGAACAATAAAATGGTATAACATATCGATATCTATTTTTCTTTGTGCCTCGAGAGCTCGAATAACGCGAGAAAAAAGTACAGAATACCAAGAAGATCTATACGATGACAAATACACGGCATTCCAGTCGTACGACACAGAGGTTCTCACACTTTTCACGGCTGCACACCACCGGCTGCGGATTCCTGAAATGATAAATAGATCGTCCCGTCGCGAATAAAATCGACGATTTTATTAGATGGAGTTGAGCAAGAAAAGATTTCGGCGCGAAGCGAGAACAGACGCGCAGCGTTCGTAAAGGTTGGTTTACGATAGCATTCTAGTCACACACATCAAAGGTTCTCAACCAAGCGTACGGTAATATTATCTCACGGAGCAGAAGGCACCCTTGCAAATTTTTGCAATAAATAAAATATACACATTTCATACGCATACGTGTGTATATGTTTACGACAGTAAGTTTTAAATATACGCAATATTAGACGCAGAAATAAAACGAGCTAAATGAAAAATCAAAATAATATCTATACGTTTATGGTTTTTTTTTATGATCGTAACTACGCGTTAGTCAACATGATCGTAAATCGATCTTGTTGATCGCATCTATCGCGCCGATAGATTTCACGATATCGTCGTTTCAGCGGTTGATCAATGTATCCGCTAGCCAGTACTGGTCCACCAGTACTGGAGGCGAGTAGAATAGTCTCGTTTATACGCGAAACATCGATATTAACACACATTTAGCAGCAAAACACTTTTATTTGCTAGATTGTTAACTTATTCTTGATTTTGTTTAAAAGGTTCATAATAATTTTTTTGCAAAAGAATCAAAGTCACATCGTTTACTTTTCGGGATTATACTCTTGATACGTCGAGTGAGAATTCTAACTTATGGAATGCAAAGTGCAATATCGCGTACCGTAGAATTAAATAGCTGGTAGACATGAAGAATCGCTTCTTAATTCGTGGAAAGATTCTGAAAACAGTACTTTCTTTGCCAACTATGTTTTCTTCTCGCTCTCCTCGTCAGGTTTCGACTAACCCGCGTATTTCTCTCTTCTCTCCTTCCGCGGTCGAACCTAAACTGGTTCTCTCGGGATCGATGCGAACGCACGAGTACACAACACAGATCGATAGATTCGAATGCCTTTCGTTTCGCCGGGAAACCTCTCGCGGGATCGCCCGATTACGACAGATCTGTCGAACCCTCTCTTATACATTAATATTCTTTTTAAAATTAAGCCCCGGGCACGTAATCGTACACGGAAGAAAGATTTCGTTGAAGTATATGTCAAAATAAGTATAGGAATCTGAAACATCATGTGCAGTGCTACAAAAAGTTTTCTAGCGATCAGTCCTACACAAATATTTTGATGGTCCAACGAAATTACTCTTCAGATCTGTATCCGCTATATCATTTTTAGATATTTCAGAAAGAAAAAAAAAAAAAAAACTGTCCTTTCCGAGTAACACATACAAGACAATGGTATCGTCAAGAGACTGTCGCTATACTGTAAAATAAAATATCGATGTTGGCGCATAACATATATTTACTGTTTCTTTCTTTATTAAAAATAGAAGCGAATGAATGTCTATCCCATCGATGTTGGCGATACATGTGTGTCAAGCTTGATGTGACGAAATAATAGCGCCTGCAGTTAGAGGAGAGCCGCACGTTCGCGATGACGTTAGGCGTGTGTATAGATTGTATAGTGGACGCACTTACATATATATAGCAGAGAGGGGGAGAGAGAGAGAAAAATACTGGGCGCTTGGTGTGTATACTGCCTGAGGTCAATATCTCCTGTCGATAGAGAGAGGACGATGTGTCGTACGTATTGCAAAGCGACTCGAGCATTTGTACGAGTATAAAGGAGGATCCTGTCAAAGGTCCAGCGTTCTCGAAGGTATTATTAAATCTTCACAGGGCGTGTTATAAATACAAATTCCTCGTCGTTTTTCATCGAAGTTGATGCGCCTTGAGCTTGAGTATAATCAGAACTTAATCAGAGCTAACACAAACCAAAATCTTACATTCTACATTTTTATATTTTCTTTTTATTATTAGGATTTTTTCATTATAATTTCGTTTCCCGCTGCAAGAACAATTTTATCAGAGTATCTCCGAAAATTAGGTAAGGTACAGATATGTGGAAATAATTTTATTGGACAATTTTATTAAAACAATCATGTAGGATCCTTAAATATAATGAATAATACTGTAAAGAGTTTTCAGAGACACTCTAGCAACCATTTTAAGATTATCTACATAATTATTTTGATAGCCCAACAAATTTATTTTCAGATCGGCGACTAGCTAAATTTTGAGAAACTCGAGGAAAAATCATCCTTACCTTATTAGAAATAAAAAGTAATGAATATTTTGAATAAAAGAAAATTAAATATTTTGTGTTTGTACATTTTGTGCTGCTGCGATCATTTAAATTATAATTATACCGCTGAAGCTCAAGTGCGTCAACCCTGGTTGACGTGACAAGGAATTCGTATTTATAGTCGACTCGCGCTCGCCGTTTTAGCGCGAATGACTAGAAAGCTCGTGTTTAACGTTACCGCTTGTCAATCGTATATAAAGTAACTCGTGAATCAATAATGACAGCTCTACTTCACGCGCGCGTGCACACCGATATAGATATAGAATGTAGAAACGCGCGCGCGCGCGCGCGCGCAGGCGAGGAAGCGTACGTTTTTCCTGGCGGCGTGGGTGGAGGGCTTTCTTCTCGGAAGAAGGAGAGACTCGCCTTTGCCCCCCGTCGTAAATCTGTCTTTCGGGCGCGACGACGGGCGCCCGCGCGAATTTATGCCCCGTCGCGGAAACTGGGCCACCGCGCCGCTGCGCTGCGTGCCGCGAAGCGCGTACGGCGGCGGATAAAAGCCCGCCACTTGTTGCTGCTTCAGCGACGCGGCGCGATATTCCTATAACGCGAAACGGAGCGATTCGAGCGAACCAGTGACTTGCGAGGAGATTCCGCGAACGCGCGCGCTCACGTCGGTCGCGCGGGAGGAAAGTAAAGGGGTGACCGCCAATGGAAAAGAACGCGGCAGAATCTTCTCGAGCTATCACCTTCAAGTTCCTTCTCCGAGCAATCTCGCTTCCCTTCTATCGTGACGTATCAAACATTTCGTTCGTAACTCCACATACAACTCCCGTTGTCTACTCTCTATATATATGAATCAGTAAATAACTGTTGACATTAGTTATGCCGATTATGCCACTGGTAATCAGTGAAATTTTACGAAAAAATTCCACGAAACGTGGAATCTAACTCGGTTAACCTTTTTTCTCAATTGAATTCACCGGTTCGGATTTAGAGAGCAATTAAAACGTCGTAAGGAAAAATTGGAAATGAACGCACTAGAATTCTGTGATCGTATCAGTCAAAATTCTATCTAAGCTAGAATTATAATAGATACGATCAGACAATTTTGATTTATTCATTTTTTTCAAAATTCCAGTTTACGTAACCAGACTCTTTTTCCAGTG